TAAGTAAGGCCGAGGCGGCTCCGCTCTGCGCGGGGCCCGGCGGCGAGGCTGCCTCAGAGGCTGTTCTGCTACAGCCCGTAGCGCTCACCTGGCAGCGATCGCTGCCGAGCCCCCCTTTCCCTTCGCTGGTAGTAAGTACAGCGATCAGGACGTGTTCAAGGAGAGAAGCTCAGCTGGGGGTAAATTGGCATTTTCATGAGCAAAGTTGCTAATCTCCTTGCAGTGAGACACCCTGGGAAGCCCGAGAGAAACCCCACACCCAGCCCCCCTTTCCCTTCGCTGGTAGTAAGTACAGCGATCAGGACGTGTTCAAGGAGAGAAGCTCAGCTGGGGGTAAATTGGCATTTTCATGAGCAAAGTTGCTAATCTCCTTGCAGTGAGACACCCTGGGAAGCCCGAGAGAAACCCCACACCAGAAATGGGAGGGTGGTGTGATTAGTTAGCACGGCCCAGACAGTGCTTCCCTGGGTGTGCTCTTTCTCTTCAAAATAAATTAACTGCGATTTACATAGTGTCATTCACTGAAGACCCCAGAGTGTTTCTGAATGACTGAATCTCAAGGTCATGAAACAAATCCTGACGAATCCCCATGGTCCTGCTGTCAGTTCCACTATATCACTGCCAGGCTTGCATCCATTCCTTTTTTTGTTTTTTTTTAAGGTGCTGTCCAAATACAGGAGTGGCAAACTCCCCAAGGCATTTAAAATCATTCCTGCCTTATCCAACTGGGAGCAGATCCTGTACATCACAGAGCCAGAGACATGGACAGCAGCTGCCATGTACCAAGCAACCAGGTAGAATTGTGTCTGGGAATTACTGATTTTTTTTTTTTATTATTCGCTTCATCTTTCCACAAGCGAATACCAGATACGCAAAATGCCAGTCTGTGTCCTGCTTTCCTGTTCCTTTGCATGCCAAGGTGGAGGGAGTCATGGGGATCTCATAGCTGATGCCCTGGCTCAGGTACTGCCTGCAGTTACACACTCCCAGGACCTCTCTCCAGAGACAGACAGATCACAGCTTGCTTTGTGCTTCGCTCTTCCCAGGATATTTTCATCCAACCTGAAAGAAAGGATGGCCCAGAGGTTCTACAACCTGGTACTGCTGCCTCGGGTCAGGGATGACATCGCCGAGTACAAGCGTCTCAACTTTCACCTCTACATGGCTTTGAAGAAGGCTTTGTTCAAGCCAGGAGCCTGGTTCAAAGGTAGAGACTTCCCACAGGGTGATGGTTTGTACATAGGAGCCTTGCAGCCATACAGCAGCTGGGAAGCTCAGCAGGGGCATGTGTTGCACACTTGCCTTGTAACAGCACACCGTGCTGTGTGTGGTGCGATGACTTCTGTCACGACTGCAGCAGCCCAAGGGGTTGGTGGGAAGAAGGAGGGCAGAGAAGAAGCAAAAGAGATGTAGAGACCCCCTTGGGCCCATTTGCACCCTTCTGTGCTGAAGGGCAATGGGTACTGGCGGGTTACGCAGGTGCTGCCAGCAGATACTGGCAGATACTTGGTTTCTTTTGGAGGTCAGTAGCCCATTACAAATTATCCTAGGCCTGATCTGCATATTGTCTAGCAACCTGAGGATGTTTGGTGCTAGATGCATGGAGAAGAGGGTGGAAAGAGATATTGAAACTCCCATAACATAAACCAATGGAGGATCCTCTAATTCCTGGAGTCAGATGCATCCGGGGATAGGAGAAGGCAGCTCTGCCTGCTATGTTTAAGGACAGCAGTGTCTAACACTTTCCCCCCCGCCCCTGGCAGGGATCCTCATCCCCCTGTGCGAGTCGGGGACCTGCACGCTGCGGGAAGCCATCATCATCGGCAGCATCCTCACCAAGTGCTCTATCCCTGTCCTTCACTCCAGGTAACGTGGCAGTGGGGCCCTGCTGCCATGGGGTACTGGGAAGGATGGGCAGGGGGAACGGTTCTCCCTTTGTGATGCCGGAGCGATGCAATGGATCTGTCCCTAAGCCTCTCTGGCCTCTCGGAGACAGAGAAGGTTTCACCCAGCTCTGCCTTGTCTGTGCAGGGCTGAGGTTCAAGGCTTCCTGCAGTGCTGGGGCTGTCATCCGTGTGTCTGGGACCCACTGGGGCAGGGCACAAGGGACAAGCTAACCTGGGAGAAAGGGAGCCTTCAGCTGTCCACGTCACGGGTGCCCCGTAGCTCTTGCTTGGCCTGCAGGTGCTGAGGCCCTGCCACACCTGCCCTCACCTTGGTGCTCCCTCCGTCCCCACAGCGCAGCCATGCTGAAGATCGCTGAGATGCAGTACAGCGGTGCCAACAGCATCTTCCTCCGCTTGCTCATTGACAAGAAGTATGCACTGCCCTTCCGCGTGGTGGATGCGCTTGTCTTCCACTTCCTGGCCTTCCGCACAGACCAGCGGGTCCTCCCTGTCCTGTGGCACCAGAGCTTCCTGGCCTTCGCCCAGCGCTACAAGGAGGACCTGTCCTCGGAGCAGAAAGAGGCCTTGCTCGAGCTGCTCAAATTCCACTGCCACCCACAGATCTCGCCAGAGATCCGGAGGGAGCTGGTGAACTCCAAGACACGGGATGTGGAAGGGCAGCAGCCTGTGGCCATGGAGTGAGCAGGAAGAGGTGGGGAGGCAGGGATCTGCTCTGAGAGCTTGCCAACTGCCTGAGGACGCTGGTGGATGCAGCTTGGAGCTCGGCTCGGAACGAAGCCATTGGGAGGTGCATGTGAGCTTCTGTCCCTGGGATCCTGCTGCTCCAAGCCGGGTGCTAGGAGCAGGCTGTGTCCAGTGACCCAGACTGTGCTCTTTGCGCTGCTTGTTGTGGGACAAGGCAGTCCCCTGTCCCACCCTGCGAGTCCAGTGCCCAGCAGTACCCAGGTGAGAGGAGGGTTTGGCCTGTTCCCATTTTGGAGAATAAAGCCCAAGCTGTGTCTATCGGTCCAGGGGCGATTCTGCCCCACGGTCAGACCTCTCTTTCAGCTGCGCCCATGGTGTGGCGCTGCCTTGTCCTAGTGTTGCTGTGTCCTATCTGCCTTGGCCTGTCCCCAGCAGGTGGCAGAGCAAAGCCACGAGCTGGAGGCTTCGTGCAGAGCTGCGTGCCAGAGCTGCAGGTGCTGTCCCAGCTGCGAAGGGAGAAAAGGGCCCCTGTGCATCCCCGCTCCCCTCCCTGTGCCCCTGCTGCCCAGGGGACTCCTGCCTACACTGTGCCCCGAGAACCCGGTGGGCGAGGGAAGGGAGAGTGGCTCCCTCTTCAAGGGAAGCAGGGTGAGAAAGGGCTGGGACCTGCTAGCAGAAATGCAGAGGTGCAGGGAGTTGTGAGGGGGGTTCCCCAGGCTGCTGCTTGAGCAGGGGGAGAGGGTCAGCACTGAGCAGGGCAGGGACAGGCCACGCGTGTTTTGTTGGCTGTAAGAGAGGTGCACGTTGTGTGAGGTGGTGATGTCTCAACTGTTGTCAAAGCTGCTCTAAGGGGTTTAAAAAAAAAAAAAAAAGGGCTCCTTCTAGTGCTTGAGGGTTTCCTTACCCTATTACCAGGGTAAGGGTACCAGGGTTTTCTTACCAGCTATTACCAGGCAAGTGAGGTGTAGAGCTGCCTTTGTCATGTCCACTGTTAGGCTGCACTACAGCCCTGAGCTGCGACAGCGTGGGCACGGGGCACATGGTCCGGGCAGTGGCGAGTGCAAGAGCAGCACAGCAGTACTGAAAGCAACAGGGAAAGCCCCATGGTGGCCAGCACAGAGGGAAAAGCCTCCAGCTGGCAGAGAGCAATGAGCTATGCTTCTTAGGGTGCCTGGGAGCAGGCTGGGGCACAGGGCAGCCTTGACTCCCCCCCAGTTCCTTTACTGCTCCCTGCAGTGGGTCCCTTGCTGGCTGCTCCTGGGCCTGGCCCCCCCCCCTCCCCCTGGCTGCACCTATTGCAGACTTGTCCCTGCAACTTGGCTCCCCAGCCACTGACCTCCCTCTCCCCACCACCGTCCCTCCTCCAAAATGCCCGCCAGCCCCTTTTGCTAGTGAAGGAGCTGGGTTTTTTTTTTTGAAACATACTGGGTTTGCTCCTCAGCAAGGTTTGTAAAGCTCCAGCCTCCAGGGCCGCTTTCCTCGGCTGCCCAGTGAGGCTGCGTACCTGCCCTCATTGCAGCAGCCTGCCCACACACGTTTCATATCCACTGGAAAACCCAGCTGCATTTTTCTTCCTCTTGGCCTGTGAGGTTCTGCACTTACCTGGGGACTTGCTAAGGGCTCCAGGTGATGCTGTGACAGTACAAGGCCCACCTGCTTGCGCATAACTGGCCTTGCCCCTGAAACCAGCACAAAGTCCTGCTGAGAAGACCCAGGTAGAAAAGCCCCTGCAGCTCCCTGTTGCAGCAGTACCTTGCCTGTGCTGAAAAATGGCCTCTCAGCTTTGCTTCTCCCAAGAGCTGGCACCTTCTTCCTTGACAACCGAGCTACAGCAGGAGCAGAAGCCACGTGAAAGAAAGCAGCATACAAAGCCCAGCTGCTGTGGGCTGCTTGCACACCACAGTGCACCGTGCCTTTTCCCCAGCTTCCTGATTTTATCTCCTTTAACAAAGCCAGAATCTGATGTGCGAGAGAGATATCCTGGGCTCTCGCACAGCACATCCAGCCTGCTCTTGCCATCCTGCACCGCAGCCAGCGTGGTTGCACCGTGTCGATGTGTAGAGGGAGGCTTCAAAGGCACCGGGGGGGTGTGAAGGCACCAGCTCCCCTCCAGCAGCTGCGAGGCCTGCGCTGCGCACGCAGGCGCCTTGCCCACAGGAAGGTGTTCAGTGCAGCGCTGTTTGTGTCTGGGCCTTTTTCACATTCATCCACCACCATCTGCAAACTGCACCAGGGCTTCAGCAGCCCTGTGAGAAAGCGCGAGCAATGCCTATCTCAGAGGCGCAGAGCCAAGGCCTCGCTAAGTCTGGCAGGTGCTGTAGCATATCCTTTGGTTTGCTCACCTCCACATCTCAACAGTGCTGAGGCTGGCTGATGGCATCTTCTCAGCTCCCTCACTGTTGCTCTGCTCTTCACAGCCTTGCTTGGGGTTCTGACTGACATTTCCACTGCTTCCTTCTCTCCCGCAGCCCTTCTCAAGCTCTTACACCACCACCACCACCACCCCCCCTGCCTGCTCGTTCCCACTTCACCCTGCTCCTGTAGCTTGGGAAAGGCCAGGCTGGAGGCCTTCAGGACCAGCCTGCCCAGGCTGCTTCCTGCAGCTGACATATCCCACCTGAGAGCACCCCCGGGGCAGAGACAGCAGCTCTGCATAGGAGCAGGAAAGCAGGAGTCTTCCCTGTACCTGGGCTGCCCCAGGCACAACACAGAGCAACTTTCAAAGCAAAAACCTCGATGCATAAATATTTGTTTAAAATACTTTATTGCATCATATCACCCTCTGATTCTCCCAGCAGTGGGACTCTTGCATGTGAACACCAAACCATGTTTACTCTTAAATTAAAAATTCATTTATATATATATATAATTTGTTTCCTTTTGTACAGACAGGCTCTGCACTCCCCCCTACCCTTCCCGCTAGCAGGAGTCAGTGGCAGATGGCTTTTTGACAAATCATGCTAGTGGAAAAAGAGCAGCCCCAGCTTTCTCCACTAGATAAGACTTTTGTTTCCAGTGGCATCCAAAAAGGAATATTTCCACGTCCTTTTCCACATCCCCCACAGGAGGACAACAGCTACAGATCCATGTGTCCAGAGGTCATCAAGCAGCAATAGTCTGCCTCCCATCCCTGCAGAGTCTCGCTGGCTTCTCTTCGTTAATACAATACTACAATTTAATGGTTCTCTCAGAAAAGCAGCATTTTTTTTTTAAAACCACTTTTTATAAAAACTAACAGACAAGATCAACAACGACGCAACAAAAATGCAATCACTTTTCAACTGAATTGCGCAGCAGATTTTCCACCCTACGAGGCTACAACTCAAACCCACATGGATATGCAAAATAGCACCCTCCTCAACGTGATCTGAGATCCCTGCCTTGGAGAAGCGAAGATGCGTTTCAGATGATAGCAGCACATTCAAATGTATTTCTTAAAATCAAGTCTGATGTCTGAGCTACCTAAAAACCAACCAGCTTCCAAATGAGAGTCCCTATTGCCCAGGAAGCTAAGGAAGGGGACAAAAGGCGATCAAGGCACTCTTTTGGAAGGAGAGGAAACCAGCATCCAGGCCCCACAGCAAGAAAATGCAGGTCTTCCTCCCTCCCTATTTCTTAGCAGTTAACAATAAATTAAGCAGCCTCAGTGGGGCAGCGGAAAGCCAAGGCCATTTGCAGTGGTTTGCGCTCCAGAGCTGCACTGTCCCTGCTGCATGTGCTGTGCCCAAACCTCACGCGAGAGGCTGCTCCCTGAGGCGAGAACTTCTCTTCTACTGTCCACACAGACAGGGAGCACTTCCCCAAAGCAAGCCAAAAACCCGCAAACCCCAACGCTAATGGCAACAAGAAATGGCCTGGGAGAAGGAGGTGGGGGGGTTACAGACATTGCAGTGCATAAGCCGAGATAAAAGGCTCCCTATACCTGTTTGATGGCCCATGCAGGGCTGGACATGGTCACGGTAACAGTACCGAGGAGACAGCAAACAGCAGCCACCCGGGCTAAGAGGAATGCGAACTGAGAAACTTTTTACAACTTCATTTTGGATTCTGCACCCCCTCCCCAGCTATTCTCGAGTCCCACCACCATGAAAAAGTCCCCTGCCACCTGCAGAAACCAGCAAGTAGTGCAGGCAGTGAGCTCTGCCAACTGGCCTCCTGCACTTACTTTGATGGCTACTTGTGAGGGTTCCCCAAACACCTTCCTGCTGTCCCTCTCCAGTGTTACAGGAGTGGAGATGGACAAGCACAGAGCCCTCTCTCTGTGCACCTAGCAAGAAGAACAAATCCTCAGCTGGCTTCAAATGGATGGGGTTAATGGATGGGTAGGTGGAAGCCAAAGACTTTTTGGTGTCCAGGGCAAGGTCCTGTTCTCATGGGGCTGGGCAGCTCTCGGGAAGGGGAGGCTGGTCACAGGTTGATGTCTGTGACATCTGTAGGTGTGCTGGTGGGTTGGCTGGCCGAGTAAGCAGCAGTCTTGGTGGCTCTGTATTCCTGTTGGCTTTGGGACACCTGTTTCAGGCTCTCGGCTAAGGCTGCCTCAATCTGCTCCTGACAGCCTTTCAGGCAGTCCTGTGGGAGAGGAAACAAGACAAGAGGCCTCAGTTCTTCTCTGTTGTTCAGAGGTGAGAGGACCTTATAAATAGCTCTGAACAGCTGCTGGGCTACGTCTCTGGCCCCTGGAGCATCTAAGCACACAGAAGACAAGTCTTTTTCCTACAAGGAGCATCTCCAACTCTATGCTTTAGGCCCCTCCCAAGGAGAAGGCTCTGCTCTGGCTCTCTTCTGCTTCCCTGCTCTGCTGCGTTCTTGCAAAAGACAACATTACTGCCCATCAGAGGCTGGCAGAGCTTCCCAAAGCATCACAGTATTCACTTGGAGGCAACGTGATTTCAGCATCACAGTAGTCAGCTGCTACTGAGGGCTGAAAGGAGAACAGCTCCGCGCAGGCCAGTATCAACCTTTCTGGCCAGGGCTTCCTAGAGCCACACGAAGGCCTGCTCTTATAGCAGGCATGGGTGCTCATAGGGACCTTGAGGGTTTACCTGCCTCCCCTGCAGGCTCCACATCCAAGGTCTCCTTGGAGCTCTGCACTGCCGGGCGCCTCTGTGGTCACCCAGCTGCTGTAGAGAGAAGCTGCATACAGCTCCGAGTCCTCCCATCCCTGCCCGCGCCTGAGCTGCTGGCCAAGGTTAGCCTCTGCTGGGTGCCCTGGCTCTCACACACGCACTCCGAGTCACTCACTCAGCTTGGGGATCTCGAACGCAGCCCTGCACAGCCCCAATACCACGTCCTCCGAGCAGGCAGCCCCCAGCCACGTGCTCCCGACAGCACTGCGTGCCGCTGATGCTCTGCATCGTTACAGGAATGGCTCTGCAGCTGAGCAGCTTCTCACACGGTTCCTGCCCTCCTGCTCTTCCCTCGGCGAGCCCTGCATGACTCACTCGAGCCTCCCCGGGGCCCAGGAAAGCCAGAACTGAGGGGACGCACAAGCCCCACAAACAGGAAGACGCAGAGGACTGAGAGCGGTGGCCTACTGCTTATAATAAAGACAGCCCCCCCCACCCCAAGCTATAAACAGATGAGGAAACTCCTCCAACCCGACACTAGAGAGCTGTGACGCATCGAGAGCTGCGGGAGGCCTCTCGCTGCTGCGGCTGGGGTTTCGCCGAGGGGGAAAGGTGGCATTTTGCTCCTCAAGGCTGGACCCGAGCCGGACGCTGCGGGGCCGCGTCTGCTCGCTGGATGCTGTCACACATTGAAATCTCTTACCAGGAATCCACCACCGGTTCTTAGAAACTGACAGAGGATGTGGCGAGCAAAAATAGCAACGCCCACCTCCCCTTCCCGGAGCCATTTCCAGTAAGCAGAGTCTCTAACCCTTTTACCCGCAGCGAGCTCGCTGCAGGGCCTCGCGCAACAGCCGGCCCAGGGCTCGCTGCAGCGAGGGGCGCAGGGGACAGCGGGGGAGCCAAGGCCGCGGGGAGGAGAGGATTCCTGGGGTCACTGCGCCCAATCTGCACCCAGATTGCTGGTTCGGTGCAATCTAACGGGAACTGCCACCGCGTCACGGCCTCTCTGCGCTGACCCCAATAGCAGCCAAGACAGGCACGTGTCTGAAGAGCCGCAACCAGGCTCTCTGTAGGCCATTTCAACAGAGATGTTAAAAGCTGGCTTGCCCGCATGGAGCCAGGCTCCTCTGCCTGCCTCGGGGCTTGTTGGGGCATCACCTATTCTGCAGAGCAGCTGTGCCTTGGGGCTCTCCAAGACACGCTGGGAAGCCAGCGGGGCCTGGACCTCTCCACGAAGGAGCAAGAACTGGTCCAGAGCGCGCCAGAGCAGTCCCAAGTCATGCGTGAAACTGGCACAACCAGCAGTCAAGCAGCCCCAGTTGGGTGGCTCAGCTCCTGCCGGCCCAGGGCTGGGAGCGCCTGGCCAGCCCAGCGCACCCCTGCCCAGCTGTCTCCCTACGGGCTCACTGCGCCTTTGGTATTCCCAGGTGGAGCCTCAACAGCTGTAGGAAAGGGGTCACTCGTTGCTGAACCAAAGGGGAAACTGAGTCACACCAGGGGAAACCACAAGGCCAGTTCGGGCAGAGAGTTAACACCACAGTCAAATGCGGGAGGCTGAAGCCAGGTGCTTCCCCAGGCAGCGCTGCTCCCACGGACGCTTCCCCAAGGCTTCCTTCCATCCAAGGAGCCGCCTTGGCCCTGCCAGGGGCAGGGGCTGTTGTACAGCACCTTGCACAGGGGCGGGCTGCAGAGCAGGAAGGACGCCCTCTTTCGGCTGGCGCAGGGAAGGGCTGAAGAGCAGCAGGGCTGGAGGAAGAGGAGGGAGGGAGGGAAGAGCTGGAGGACAGCAGGGGCCTGGTTTCAGCTCCCCTCCCTGCTTCCCACCTGTCCTCTGCCAGCTCCGACACGCTCTGCTCCCCGGGTAGGTTTCATCCCCTGCCCCATTCACCGCAGCAGCCTGAGAGCAGCTGGCTGCGGCGATTCTCTCTTTAAAAAGGCTCAGACAAACAAAAAAGAGAGAGTCATACAATAAAATAGGACACCCTCCTGCCTCATCCCCTCTCTGCCCAGACAATGCCAGGACCCAGTCTCCCCCTGCCATAGCACAGACGCGTCTCTTCCAATTCCTGACACTGCTGTCATGGGACTGTAACTAACCCCGCGCCTGGCTGCCGGCATCAGCGCTCAGGCATGAGAAAAGATCAAAAGGGGCCTTGGCAGAATAAAGGCTCCCGATTTCTCTACAGCAGGAGCAACCTGAAGACTGGGAGTCTGACTGGGTCCCCTTTCCCTAGCCAAAGGGCAGAAGAGGGCCAAGCAGACCCTCCTTGTCATCCCACATCCCCAGCACCCAGCTGTCTATCAGCATCCTGGATCTCAGCATCCTGGATCGCCTTGGCCCCCAGCCCTGTTCCCACCCAAGTCTGGGCACCTGTAACCAGACACCATCTGAGATTAGCAGATGCTGAGCCCAGCTTCTCCTTCTGCCCCATCCCACCGTGTCAACCCGATCCTGCTAACACCTGTCTGCTCAGGCAACAGACGCTTCCCTTTGTGCTTCTTTTCAAAGGCCTCCCGAGCTCTCCCGGCTCTGTGCAGACAGCAGTCAGGGCTGTCGCACAGCTCGGCGGCCGGGGAGCTGACTACAGCACGCAGCCACCAGATGCTCACTACAGGCTGGACAGTGTGGCACAGAGAAGCAGAAGAGAGATGACTTTGAAATACCCTCTCGCAGCAACCTCAGCCAGTTACTGCCAACTAGGGAAGAGCCACAGTCCCCAGGTCCAGCTGAGAGCATGGCAGAATAATCCAGGGAGAATTCAACCTGCATTGCCACTCTTGGCAACAAGCACACGGATCCACCCTCCCCCTGCTCACAGGCGCAGCCCCTCCAACTCTCCCCTACCTAACTTGCTGCTGCTGCCCCTCGCTAGGTTACGACAGACTACGTAACGCACCCCAGCGGCTCCTGCTCTGCTTTCCCTTCATGGCTGCTGTGCTCTGTTCAGAGGCAAGGAGCCAACAGGCCTGACCAAGGTTTTCATCCCAGGATACCATCACCACGTTTAGAGACGCTCACTAATCTCTGGGCACGCCATTCAAAGCCAAGTCAGCATCCTTACAAACAACTTCCCTCCTCCCCTTCCTGAAGTGGGGCAAGCTGCAGAAAGAGGAAAGGCTTCCACTGGAGTCCAGTACTGGACTCGCTTTGCTGTTCCCCAATGAACACTCACCACCTCCGTGCCAGTAATGCTGGCCAGCAGCTCGGTGATCGCCTCTCCGGTGAAATCATTAACAGAGACCGTCAGGCCGTGCATCGCTGCTCCAATACTGCCTGTTGCAATCATGGACGGCGGGTATATAGCAAAAGTGTAATCTAGAGGCAGGACAGGAACAGAAGGGGCAAAAATAACAAGCTGTTAGCAAAGACGCGTGTGGACTATAACTTCTTGGGACTGTGATTTCCCTGGAAAACTAGTGAGAGCTAGACAGAGGGTCCCTCCAGCAGAGCGGGCAGAAATGGAGTGAAGCAACGGGAAACACAGGCCAAGTATAGAGTAGCAAGCTCCATTAAGCTACTTCTCCGGGCTTTTCTCACCAAAAGAGGTCCTGAAGATGATGTTGCTCTAGTGACTTAGAGTGGGGCTGATAAAAGCTCAGATTCAATCCTGTCTTTACCCTAGATGCCCTCACAACATATGACCTCCTGCTCCGCAGTCACAGCCTGCAGAGCAAGAGTGGTGACATGGCTGCTCTTTCTGGCATCTCCTGGGCACCAATGAAGAGCCACTAGCCTCATCATCCCATTTTGTCAGAGACAGAAAACGAGTAACTGAGCAGCAATGAGCTCCAATTTAAATGAAGGCAAGCATTCAGCTCCCCAAAAAGCCAGATTACTGAAGACTGGCCCAAGGTTGCCAAGCAAGCCTGACTCAAGCCCAGGCTCCCATGCCTGCAGTCACCAGCTCACTTCCCAGCATCCTGGCAGGACGATTCCAGCAGAAAGAGGCACATACCTGTGGCACACAAGGCAATAAAGGTCTGTGCGTGTTTCTTCACCAGCTCCATCTTGTCCTTTGGCAGTGGGAGGTGATGGAGGATGTGAGCCAAGAAATCATTTGCTATCACCGACACTAGGTCCCACTTTAGTTTCCCCAGGACTAGAACCTCCCAGTCCTGTACAGTCAGAGAGAGAGAAAGACAGCATGTTACTCAGCTGGCCTAGACCAGCCAGAAACGCTCACGGGATCCAAGAGCAGATAAGCACAAAGCTTATCTGGGTCAGTAAAACAGTGCAATCCATGAGACGGGGCAGAAGGAAAAGAGGGAATGTCCCTGCTCTGTGACTGGCACAAATCCAACCTTGAGCTGTTGCAAAGCTTGGAGTAAAGATCAAAAGAGGAAGCAATAAATCTAGTTTCTCCTTTCCAAGGTGCAGTCGGATTAGCCTTCAATACTCTCTGCTTTGCAAGGCTGCTGCAACAGCCCACAGGAAAAAACAGAGCAAGTAGCAGCAGGCATACTGTCCCCATACTCCTTCTCCACTCCTGAAAAGGAGAGGCAGATGGCTGCAGCAGGTCCACGCTCCCAGGAGCGATACAGCTTGGAGCTAACAGAGACGTGCTCCTCTAATCATCGCGGCAAAGGGAATACAGCAGCTCACCTCTGTATGTGCCACTCTGAGCTGCTCAGCACAGGGACTGCCTCCTACAGTGGCTCCGTGGCTAGTAAAACGCAGGAGGCAGCACCTGCTCTCCAGCCAGCCCCTTTGCAGAAGAAGTTAAACCAAGAGAAGGTGGGGGGAACATAACCGAGCTTTTAGGGCTGCGTCCAAACAGCCCAAGCTCCTGTGCGTCATCAGTGATGACATCTGGGACCCCCAACGAGCTCGGGGCTGTGACTAGGCGCTGAGCAAGGAGGTATTTAGCCCAACAGATAGCAAACACCAGGCGCACAGCCCTCAGAGGACAGCACCTTCTAGCCCCAGGCTGGCATATTGGCAGAGCACCTCCCACCCATCACACCTCTTCTCTGCCAAGAGAGCTTCCAGCCAAGCTCAGAAAAGCATCCCCAGCAGTCTCTCAGAAAGGGAGAAGAGCCACGTTCACATCCACCTCTCCTGGCGACCAACAAGCAATGGCTCACTGGTGTTCCCGAGACAGGTGCCAGGTGGCTGCCAATGTCTCTGTCCCACATTGTGCTGTTCTGCCTACGCATCTAACAGAGATATTTCTGTAGTGCCTTCCCCTAGCTGGGCGCTGCACAATCTGCAAGCTGGGGAACAGATGGCAGCAAGGCCCAAGCGCCCCCACTGATGTCAGATAGGGCCACTCCTCTCATCTGCTCAGGCTCTTTGAACTCTGGGCATCAGTCCCAAATCCAGCAAGGAAACCTAAGCACAGAGCAGTCAAGGGCAAGCATTTGGCAGAGTCACCACCCAGAACCCAGGAAGTTCTGCAGCAGTTTGCACAGGCCTGCAGCAAAACACTCGTCAGGGAAAGCATAAGAAAGGATAGGCCCACGATTAGAGCTTTACTGCAAGGATTTGGGACCTCTGCATTCAGTCCCCCACTCCACCATGAATTTCAAGGCATAAGTGACTGACCTAGGATAAGGGTTTGAAGCAAACTCACTTAAGAGGCCACAGGCTGGCCGGTCTCATTGGGCTAGGTTGCTTTGATGTTACGTCTGGGCATGACTGTCACTGACAGAGCAGTCTCAGGACAGGCAGACAACTGCACGTTCCCAGGATCATTTCCCTTCCCATCCAAGCAGGAACGTCACAGGCAGCCCACATCCAGCACTCGAGCTGCTCGGCCGGTCCCAATTCCCCCATGTCCCAAGCCATGCTCAAGATCTCCGACTCCTGTGCCTGGGGCCACGGCCCTCAGCTTCTCTAGCCTCATTCTCTGGACAAGCAGTAAAGCTGGTCTTGGCACCAGCCGTGCCACCGACGCCACAGAGGACACCTTCATGTCCCACCTCCCTGCTGGTATGGGGCGACACGTCCCTGCCTTGCAAACACACAGGGAAAGGAAAACACGCTGCAGGGGCTGAGCATCGCTCAGCTACGGCTTTGGAAGGATGAAGCTGACCTGGGATTTTTAATCAGATCCCTCCATTTCAAGGCTAGTCCTACCCAGCAGGATATCTTTCTTTTTTCAAGTAGCCTAAAATTACAAGGTCAGTCTTGCCCACAGAAGTGCTGAAGGGGTGCTAAAACAGACAGATTTGAAGAAGTGAGATTGATTTTTCATAAGGGCAGGTCTCCATTTTCTCTCTCTCTTTTTTTTTAAACTCATTCTTTCCCCTTACACAACAATACCAGTTTTGAGTTGCTTAAATGAACAGCATTGCTCAACCTGTTCCAAATCCCCCACTATGCCAAATGCGCTGCTTGCCACTTCACAGCCTGTACTTTTCCAACCAGTAAGTGGTATTTTACTCGAACACAGTTGCTAGTCTCCCATATGGATGGCGAGCCTGCTTTCTCTCCTCCTAGTCTTTCTATATTTTTAAGCCAGATTCACAGGGTAAAAAGCAAAAAGAAATCTAGCAATAAATTCTAGAGCCTTAGGGTCATGGCACAGGTCATTTAGGGAGCCTGATACAACAGGGCGATTGGAATAGAGGGGAAGAAAAGGAGATGAGGCATGGATAAGAAGAGGAAAAAAAGACAGCGTTAGCCATTGCTTAAACTCAGGCAACACAGTAAGGTGACACAACGAAAGACCCATCGGAGGTGGAGAGCTCTGTACTTTGTCCCTACCTGTCACTAAGCTGAAATCCATCAAGGCAACCAGCAGCCTTGCCAGGAAAGCTGGCTGCTCGCCCACGTGCCAGCCCAGCTTCCTGGGAACAGGGGCACAAGTGCCCGCTGGCATCTTTGGTGGTCACTGCCCTGGGGGCGAGAGGCTGGGGCAGCCAGAGCCCGTCCTCTCTCACATGAGCTGGGAGCACGGCCCTTTTGCAGACCCCGAGGACAAGATTACAATAAGGACTTTGGACTTGCTTCATGAGCAGTGATCTCTGCATGGATTGCTACACCTGAGAGGGGAGCTCCTGAGCACAGAGGGGACACCAGCCCAGCATCATCTGGGCTCTTGTTCTTCACGTTTCCTCCCAGAACTGCGAGCCAGCTCCCAGGCATCACCAGAGGCACATAGCATCCACGCTGGATCCATCAGTGCAGCAGAACCAGTCCCCATTGGGACCTGTTTTGTCAGATGACGACCAGCTGTGGGACATCACCTGGGACATGCTCGCTCGTGCTACCCCAGCACCGATCCGCAACCACAGCCCATCCATTTGCAACGCACAGACGTGCGTTTTTTCCAGCTACTACAGAGGTTCACCACATTCTTGAAAAATGTCATCATGACAGGCCTGATCCCGAGACTCAGCCAGCACTAGAGATGCTTGCTGAAGGCGACAGGAGCTGAGGAGCGTCACCAGCTCACAGGGTTTCGCTCAGGGAAGTCTCCTCCTGCCAAACAGCCCTGCTCCTCGCTTTTCTCCTGCTCACCCCTGGGACTTGCCGCTCTCCGCGCAGCATGTCAGAATCTCTGAATCACTTTATCTGTGGAAGAAGCAGAACAAAAGGCTGCAAGAGATAGGCAAGCAGGTTTGCGACAGCAGCACCGCTCCATATAGCAAACATCCTTTTCCTGGCATTTTGATTTGCATCTAATTGAATCAGTCTCTGCCTGGCTAATGAAAGAGAGGGGGAAAAAGTGGAAAATACTCCTTTGTTTCTTCAGCCTGCAGAGCCCACCTTCCTGTTGGAAGGGCTTCAAACTGGCAACGCTGCCCAACAAGAATCCCATCGGGTCCCTTTTCTGGGAGATCACCTAGTGCAGAGCTCCCCATGCCAGGCCAGGGTCCCTAGGGGTAGAAACCATACCCTAGCTGAGCTTTCCAACTGCAAGCTTGTTCCCTTGATCTCTCCCAGCTGCATGCTGCATGCCTTACAAAATAAACTAATAATATAAAAGCAGCAACCACCATTCCTCATTACTTCCCCTGCTCTTACAAGGTGATCTCAGAGCACAGACCTCTTTTGATAAAATAGCCTCCTGCCCCTGGTTGCTGTCTCTGCCCCCTCTCATTCTGACAGCACAGTCACAAGCAGAAATGGTTTTACTCAATTTGTAGCTCCACAAACTCAGACTGGGATGTGACAGACACACTGGCTTTTCTCCTTGCTGTGTAGCGACAGTCGCTCTGTAAATTAAGTTCTGCCTTCACCCACACATCCACCATGCCTACAAGGGGGCTGCGTAAATGTATCTGTCAAGGCTGCCCAGGGAGCAGAGAACCCAGCTCCCTCCCCACAGCAGCCCTGTGTCTGCAGGAGAAAAGGAAGTTGTGCTTGATTTTGTCACTCGAGTTGATAAGCTGCCATTTTACATTATCTCAGACTTGATGAGACACCAGCGAAGCGGGAGCAGGCTGCACTCTGTTGGGCTCGTGAGCTGACTCAAAAGGAGGGTGGAAAGCGTTGCCGCCGTTGCTGTTGGCCACCCACCCCACCCAGCAGCTGAGAGACAGCTACAGAAATGAGCAGCCATGAAAGTCCTTCTGCAGAGAAGAAACTTGGGGTAAACAGTTTTTTCCATCCTCTGACCAGAGTTTAAGGCTGGATGTCGAGTGTAAAGATGCCAACATCACACGTGCAAACGGCCATAACTGTGCCACCTCTGCAACAAGCAGAAGCCAAAACACACGCAGCGCACCTACCTGTGAAGTCACCGCTCTACTCCAAGTGAATATCCCTGTTCCCTAACTCAGTTGTTATCCCTGTCTCTTATTTTCACTCCTCACCACCTGCTTTCACTACTGCTCCCTCCATTATCTGCCTAGCGGCCTGATCCTGCTTCAGGTCTTAGTTAGGAAATACCTAGCAGTTTGCAAAACCGACCTCTCAAAGTCAAAAATCTCAGAGGTAAGACAAAGTATTAGGGATAAACCAAGTAGTTGCCAACAAGCCAGAGATGAAGGTGACCTACAAGAACTGCTTTCCCCAACCCTCAGTCCTCAAGCAGCTGAACACCCTCTTGCGCAGGCCAGAAAAGCCTCTATGAAGAAAGGAAAGGTATGTTAGATAACACCCTCGACGGAAATCCAACTTCCTCCAAATGGACAAGTCCCTTGTTGCATCATTTCCTTCTCCCTAGAATAACTTCATCAAGATTTTGTTTTAAATGTGCCCTTTCTAGACTGCTGAGCTGGTGCCAAGCATCCCTTCAAGAGAAGGAAGCAAACCTGCTGGGAAAGTGAGCCAGCTTCCTCTAAAAGGCCTGGGAGGACAAGCTGGAAGCTGAAATGGCACCGATCCACGAGAAGAGGCCAGGATGTACCATTGTCCAAACCTTAATGAAGAAGCTCCCCTTCCCCTCCCCACCCTCTTCCACTGCAAGATTGTGAAAGAAGAGAAGTAACATTACCACGATTAGCACAGAGGAGAAAAACAGCAGCTCACCCTGGTTTTGTAATCAGGGCATTAACTCTTGTTGGAACCCAAAGCGAAGACAAACCTTTCAAGTATCTTCAGATGTCACCTCTGCTCCCTCTTTACACCGAGCAGCAAAGGGACAGCAGGGTGGGACCTGCTCCAAAGCTAAGCATCCAAAGCAAGCCTCGTGGTGGGCTGGGAAATGCCACCTCCAGATCACAGGCTACAGAGCATCTCTTTCCCAGGTGTTTGCTGGTCCTCTTCAGACCTCCTCCACTTCATGTCTCATTTAGGGCTGTGCCTGGTCCAGTATGCCTTCTGCTGTCATTTGGCTAGCCCCAGTTACCAATCTCTCCACAGCTTCAAGCTAACAGGATGCTGACTGCTTTTGACCATTGCCTTGGGAAAGAGGATCTTATTTGCTGAAAGAGCCATCTTTGGCTATCCCAAGAAAGGGCTTTTGGCCCCCAAAATGAAGTCATTCTTGCCCACCTCAACTGCATTATTCTGAAGTACAAGGATGGAAGAGATGCGTGCTAACTCTCTGGCTTTGCTTCACGTTGCACTGAGAGTATCCCAAGAGCCAGCAAGGATTGGGGGTGGGTGGTAATAGAGAAAGGAGAACTCCAGTACTGGAGACCCGCACAATCACGAAAGAGCAACTGGTGGCAGACAGCGTTTTATTCCTTCATATCCACTCTAATGTTAGCAGAAGGGAAGAGGAATGATGAATGCTGTGGTGCTGCTTAGCCAGAGCTTCCTGTTCATAAGGAGACTCAAAGTGAGGCAGCATTAGTATTTCAGTGCAAGAGTGAAGAAAAGCCCTTGGGATGGCGCTTCTTTCAGCCTAAGAAAATACGCTCTGCCAGCTACCCACCTGCAAATCTCTAACTGCTCTCCTTTGGAAGAAGCTTTTTGCAAAAAAGCTTAAAATTCAATGGAAAAAAAAAGCCCTTCTCTCCCCCCTCCCAAGCCCCAACAAATAAATCAGAATGAAGTACAACTGAGCCAGTCCAAGATCCATCAAAAAATGCACAACAAATGCCTACCAAGTCTGATTTCTCACGGTGAAAGACCCAGCCTGCAGAAACCACTTGAATTTGCAGTGAAGTCCACTAATTTGCACCCAGAAAAGCAAGTGACTGCAAGGATCATCACAGCAGGATTCCTTTTTAAGCCTGGATCAGAGAGGGAGACAGAGGTGAAGCATGGGAGCAAGTTCACCCTATTGCAACCCATGTTCCCGTTGGATAGCACAGCTTATCGATCACTCTGCAAGGACAGAAAGCTGACACTGGCCCACAGCATGCATTTTGATCAGGTTCACTCCCCAGGAGGGCACGTAGAGTCCTGCCCTCACCTTTGAAATGCAGCCCATTTGCCTGCAAAGAGATTGGTAAGTACCTTCCACTCAGCTTGTTGCCTCTGCAACATCTCCAACTTTTGCTGGCCCAGGAGAGCTGTGAATGTTAACCGAGTCCCCCCATTTTTTTCTTCTCTCCCACCAAATGTGACTCATTATCTCATGCATAATGTATTAGTGGATAAGAAGGTGCTCTCAAGGATAGGGTTTTACTGAAAGAGGGACAAAACCTCTGCACGCAGAGTTTGTGCCAGCCTCCAGCAGGAGGGTCCTGCAGCAAGACCGCACCTCAGGATCTAGGGAAGCTACAAGCACCTATTTCCTGTGGATTCCTTTCCCTGGCCATTTTCCAGTGGTAATAATCCATCTACTTTTTCCATGAGTGCTACTAAAACAAGAGCTACCTACAAATAACTACAGGGAAAGCAGTACGGAGGTGAGGGGATTTTCCCCAGCCTCTATTGGCACTTGGAAAAACCATGCTCATACTAGAGCTCCCCCGTTACCAGAACTGCCTTCCGATTCACACCTGAAAGTTTTGTGGGTTCATTCCCCACCCTGGGGACAAATCACATTCAGATCTTCTCACCCACCCCCAGCTCAAAAAAAAATATATATATTTATTTAATAAGGTGATGACTAACCCTGAGAAATTCTAATAGACAAACTGTCTCCAGGGATGTTTGTTACTTGAAGTGAGGTGACTGTTTCCTCCTGACGGCTCTGTGATCTAACAGCTCAGAAGGCCCCCAAGAAAAGGGGTTCTCCAATTTCCTCCCCCATTGGCAGTGTTGAACTCAGAGGTTTGGATCTTTTCTTTGCTTTGAATGGCTTTATAGGACACCAGGAAAAAAAAGCTTTGCCTTTCAAAGCTTACGCAGCTGCTGCTGCTTCAGTGTCCAACTGGGCAAGTGGCCCTGGTTTAATTCAAAGCCGCGTAGCAAGACCTGGGCAGCAGCAAATTCTCAGGTACTTCCAGGCTGTTTCTACAGGCCCCATCACCTTGGCAGCACTGTCAGCCTTGAATAGCATAACCTGGTTAGTTGAATTCTGTGTCACAAAAGCTCCCACCCATTTTGCTGGTTACTCTCCACTTAATGCTTCGTTTTCCTTTTTTTTCCCCTGCCGCGTGCTCGGCTGGCTGTGCAGACAGGGGCCTTTGTTCTCCTGAGCTGTCACTCGAGAGCGAACCAGCGCATGGGAGCGAGCCCAGCGTGGCAGCTCCGTGCTGGGAACGGGCACTTAAAAGGCGCAGGGAACTCTCTCGCTAACTTGGAGGCGACGCTGCTGCTTCCCAGCCCAGGGAGCGAGGGCCTGCGCAGGATGAGGTGGTCTCCAATGACAGGCAGCAACATCCACCGGGAAGGAAGCAAGGTTGGTTGGGGAACATGGTGGAAGGCGTTTGGAGAAACAAGAGAAAGGAAACAGAGGAGATACAAACACAGGTACGTTGCCAAGTAGCAGCATGTAGAAGATAAGAGCTGGGGAGGGGACGGAGGGCTCTGAGACAGGGGTGGTTACCAGGAGCTGCTGAGGTGTGATGGAGTTGTCTGTGTAAATGCAGAGTTTCTCCACTGTCAGGGGCATGGTCTCACGCAGCTTGGAAGCCAGGAGCATGCAGACAGCTCCCAGAAGCTGCAAGTGACTTTTTCGCATGGGCACTGAAGACAGGTAGCGATCCACATAATTCATGGCCAAGGGGAAGACCTCTTCTTCGCACTTCTGCTCCTCACACACCTGACAAAATCCAATAACAAAAGAGGAAGTTTTAATCGGCGCCCCGGATCCTGCCTGCACCACAACTTCAAAGCTTCTGGTCATGATGGTGTTTCACACATTTCTGAAGGGCTTTGATGTATCACCTCCATGCTAAGGTGTAAACCAGCTGCAGGTGCAAATCTTTGACTTGAACAGAATTACACTAGAAGAAAATTTGACCAGTGTCTTAAGACTTTGTTTTCCTGTGGAAAGCTGCAAGAGTGGTATGCAGTTAGAACACACAGACAAGCTAAGACCAAAATTGCTTTTACTTGCCCCTGTTTTTATTTTCCCCTGTTGGGGATGTCTACAGGTAGACAACCAGCAAAGCTGTGCATTTTCTGCTCTGTGGGCACTCAGGACCTCTAAGGAAAATTATCATTTCCAGCATGTCTCCAGCTGGAGACCTAATCATGCAGGAGCCATAGTCACTTCTGACAATTCCACCTCAAGTGGCCCAGAGACACAAGAAGAATCAATGGCAGAGTCCGTGGCTGAGCCCAGAAGTCTTTCTTCCCCCTCCTCTTTCTCAACCACACCTGTACCACAGCCATAAACAGAATCCAGGAGTTCTCCATTTCAGTCCCCTGTTCTAATCTCTCAACCAGTATCAAAGCCCTGGTCATATTTACTTCCTTCTTTCAATGCAACCATAAAAATATTGGAGTTTCTCCTCATACAGCAGCAAACAGCACCATTCTCTTTCAAACAGTTACTCTGCCTTTCCCTTACACAGACTGCTGTAAACCCTAGGACAGAGACTTTTTCTAAAAAGAGAACAAACCCCTCAGGGCAAGGCAGTTGTTTTGTGCATTTTCCTTTCTTCCACAGTTTTTAAAGAGAAAGACAAGTCAATTTCAGGTGCAAGTTCTAGTGTCTTACAGTTCAAGGTGAATTTGGCCTGATTTTAACGGGTCAAACATACAGCCCCAGAGCTGCGACTAAATAGCACAAGCCTCCAATTTTGCTTTGTGCCCAGTCATGACAACTGCTTAGTATCATTCACTTTTAGACTGCCTTTAGAGCTTCACAAGGAACAGGCTCTAAAGCAGCACTTATCTAACTAACCTCCTCAGAAAGCGAACTGCAGAAAGAGACCAACGATAAGAGGGAAAAACCTTTAAAAAAAGCAAGTTGCTCTATTACTTCTTTTGACAGATCAGGCAGCTTGCGACAGCTGCTGGGGTGGAGAGCAGGAGCCAGGCTCAATTGGAACATCATTTGTCCTCTGCAGGATCTGTTATTTCTTTTTTCTATTGAGACCGCTCACCCTGACCGTTTCAGAAAGAGGCCCATGAGATTTCCCCCACTGGGCTGTTTCCCACAGAGAGCTGCATTCATTTTTAACTTAGGGAAGTAAATGGTAGTGATGTTATTTTCCCCCTTTAAGCAAGTGCTCCCAGCCCCATTCAGGAAACTCAAGTCTCTGGACTCTCTGGTGCACAGCAGAGCGCTCTAGCCAGAAATTTTGGAGAGCAGGGTGGGAACAGAGGAGCCAACAATGGTGTGGCAGCACATTGCTGGGGGGGGGAGGGGGGGTGAACACAGGCTGCTGGGCTAAAGGGGGGCTGCTCCTCCCACAGGGGGAATCACATCTTCTGGCCCAACCAACCCTCGCATCAGCAAGACCCCACTGCAGATTGCCTCCCCGCAGCCACCTCCAGGACCCCCTCCCAAATCCCACAGCCCTGACCTCCGGCACACACACACCCGCCCCAGAGGCTCTCCTGCCGCCAAGACCTCTTCCCTGGATTGTCCCTTGCCCCCTGTATGAAGTAACCCCACTGAAAGCTCCCTCCCCCCCAAGTGAACGTGGGACGGCCACCCCTCCCCTCCTTTACACCACGCCGCCACCAGCTCTCTCCTGCCGGAGCAGCATAGCTCACACTAGCAGCAGGGACGAAAGGGCAAGAAAAAGAGCCGGTGGCCGGACACAGAGCTAGATTTTGAGGCGGGAGAGGAGAAAGAAGCCGGGACCCGGCTGGGGGGGGGGGGGAGGGTGCCGTACCTCGAGCATCCAAAAAGCCAGCATCTTCCGCATGTGGGGCTTGATCTCCTTCTGCACGCAGTGGAAGTAGGAAGCGTGGGGACTGTAACGCTCCTCCTGGCTCAGCAGGTTCTGCAGCACCCGCCGGTCCCCCAGGAGCTGCGGGGCCCCCCCCGCCCCGGGCCCCC